TGTTAACTGCTTAAATGCAAATTAAGCAGAGCATCATTCCTTTGTTTAGGACAGACCTGTTTGCCAGCTTCTGTTTTGGCCAGGGCGGTGGGGTTTGGAATATGTATTAACACCATACAGAGGAATCTTATAACGTCATACAAAGTTGTCACACCTATCTGACTAGGACAATACTGATTGGCAAATCATGAGTTTACAAATGATACCTTACAAGACCTGTACCAAGATTATTATAATAGTGGGTAGGGTGTGAACATAGGTGTATCCGTCCCAGTCATTCATTGGCTGTTGGTCCTTTTGTGGGAAGTGTTAGGGGAGAGAGCCACAGGGCTCCTAGAGCAGGAATTGGTGCAGTGTGGAGTATTGGGTATGTTTTATCAAAACCTAGAACAGGAGGGAACTTGCCTAAGAGGGACTATGCTGGTAGCTCTACTGGCTAATAGCAGGATTCCTGCAATAAGACTTGTCCAAAAAAACCAAAAAACATTTTGAGTCATCAAACAATTATACTTCTCTTAAGCAATTATTTTTATGGGTCTCATTGAAAACAGAACCTTTGTCTCCCCATTATTTATATATAAAAAAATTTTAATAGCAACCCTGGCATTATCACATATTTTGTTAATGCCTCATGTTTAGTCTACTCCTTATTTTGCTTGTTTGTCTTTGGCTTTTTTAATAGCTTTTTCCTCTTTGAAATACCTTGATATTTATAGAAATAATGCAATTAGTCTGGGCAGGGCTTAGTGACATTTACAAGCCTGTTTATATGAATAGTTTGAAATGTATTAGTACATTTATATATATGCTTGTATACACCCTCTCCTCTTCCCACCCCCCTTTGCTGACTGCAGCAACAATTAAATTTAGCAGGCATGTACTTTGATCTGATTGTTGCTGTCCTGGAGCGTGCTGACATACAAACATGCAAGATACTCCAAAGGTCTGTTCTGCATTCCGATTTGTTAGAAACACCTTTTAAAATACTCTTGAGGGGTGCGAGGGGAGGGATTTTTCTTTAAGCGGCTAAGAGGTTTGTGCGGCTTTTTTACTAATAATTCCCCCCTAAGGATCTCCAAGCTGATGCCGAGGACTGTATGGGGTTATGGTTGGAGTATTTGCAAAATAAAGAGTTGCCTTATTTACACAGCCCCATAAGAGTGCATGGCACTTTACAGACAAATAAATGCATTATTCAACGCATCTGAATGTTTTCCAAACAATTTAGTCCTGCAAAGCCAAATCAACTGTGTCTCAGTTGCATTCTCTTTAATACTGATGATCTTCCCAGCCAGTGGCTGAAAATCAACTATGACCTTTGCTTTGAGGTAGAAAGAACTTTGAACCGTTCCTTTGTTTTGTTATTAGATACTGGGTTGCGTTTTGCTAGGAAATTGCACCTTTTAACTTATCGATAGGAGGGTAGGGAGCCATCAAAAGAGAATATGCCATTTTCAGAGAGAATGTTCTGACCAGGAAGGGGCAACAAACGTAAAAGTGGTTGTCATTTTTTATTTAAAGCTAAATGCTGCACTTCCACCTCAGACTCCTGAGGTAGGTAGTCTGATCTTCTTTCCCACTCCATTCGGTCATTTTGCCATTTGACTTTATTTGTATGTATTTAGCTGCTGGTTTGTCTTTATTTTTTATTTATTTATTTATTTTGCTGAAGTGATTATAGGAGGCATAAAAGCAGCCTTAATCCAGCAGCACACCTCATGTTTGTATATGAAATCTCTCTGTAATCGCTACTGAGTTTACTAGTCAAACAGTGCAGCCGTGGCACAAGATAGCTGCAAATGTTTTACTGCTTAGCCTGCACAAAAAAACAAGCAGGCAAGGATAGTGGCTGGTTGTGGTGAATAACTACAGACACTAAGGATTAGTTCTTCCATCTCTAATTTCTGATCTCTGGGTTCTGTCCAGTCTGTTCACTACACTTGGCAATATTGTGCCCTCCATTAGAGTCTCCAGTGAATTGTCTAGTTGTGTATCCATTACACAAAGAAAGAGGCACTGATAAGAACCACATTCTGCTCTAATTGGCTGGCTAAATTCAGCTGGTGCCATAATAGTTTACTGCTGGAATCCATCTGGTTCAGGCTGCAGCGTGAAAGTCTGATTGGACTCTGCTTAAATCTGTATTTACTACATCTTTCCAGCAGTGACGTCTGTAGTGGCTCCTGTTGTTTCTCTGTTGCTGGAAGCTTGGTGGTTGATGTGTGTTCTGAGGACAGCTGATGGGCAAGCAAAGCAGTTACATTGATGTACGTTCTTCTCCATGCTGGAAGCACAGCACGTTTCCCCTACTGGCAAACGGACTGTGGTGTTAGCTAGTGCTTCTCCCACAACAGTGGCCACCCCTTCTCTGGTAGCTCACTCCTGGTGCATGGGGAAGGTTTGAGACATCCGGAAAGGAAAGGGAAGAGAAAGTTGGTTCTTAAAGAACATTGCTGTTGTCCCTTTGCTTCCAACACTCACAGTACTGGGTATACGTCTTCTAAGCCACAATCTCAGTCGCAAATACCCTAAGGGAAGCACATGAAGGTATGTCTGGAGGTATTTATTCCCAGCTCGATGAGACATACTCATACTAGGTCTCATTGAGCTAACGTGCTCAAAATAGAATGTGGCCACTGCCTCGTACGGGGCAGGAGCAGCGAGGGGCCCCGAGTGCATGCCCCTCAGTCTCTAGGTATATACGCAGGCCGGATAACCCCTCCCTCCACTTGCATTGCCACAGCTATGTTCCAGTGTTGGCATGCTAGCTCCATGGGGAACCAAAATAGAATCTAGTGCTCAGTCCTGGAGCTAGCAGACATATAAGGCAGGGAACCATTTATTTTTGCACCTTAAATAGGCAGATGTGTATCCAAATACAGGCAGGGCTTGTGTACAGTAAACAGTTTGAGGAACACTAAAGATGTAGCTCTCTTGGAGGTAGCAGTGGTGGGAGTGCTTGAGTAGATGGGGACCAGGTGGCCACCTGCTCTTTCACCACTATGCTTTTAGTAAGAACTGCTCCAAGCAGCGTTAGATGCCATGGTGATAAAAGTGCCCGTACCCTGTCCACACTAACCCTCCCTCTATTGATAATGCAATGGGAGGGAGACTCCCAGAAAGAGTCTAAGATAAACACAGCCCGAGGGACTAAACCTACTGAATAAGATGCCACTTTTACACAGTCACTTCTTATAGCTGACCTGCACTTTAAGGAGACGAGAAAAGGATGGTTTTTGGAGAAGTATAAGCTGAACACTTTTACTAATCAAAATGACATAACTTAAATACAGTGGAAACCACACACAGTGAATAGGGTGGTAGTGAAACAGAATAGCAATCCCAAGTGATCCCAGTGCATCACCATTTTCAGGTTGCGATCCCAGTTAGGTAAATCCTTTGCTTAGCAAGGCTTTCTCTATGTAGAGTAAGCAGATGACTTCACTATAAAATGGTTCTAGTGTTTCAAACAAATTCTAAACACACGAGAAGGCTTAAAAATACCACTATAAAGAGAGGGAGTGAAAGGAAGTCTAAGGAAAGAAAAAGGAGAAGAAACTGGAGTACTACAGGGAATTCAATTTTTAATTTCATAGTAAGTTTGCTGCCAAATTCCCAGTAACAACCTTCTGCATTTAACTCAGCTGTGCAGATGTTTCAGGCTGGTTTCGGTGTCATGTGAGCCCCATTGGTGGGACAGCATTGCCAAGTTTGGGAAAAGCCTCATTACATTCAGGTTGAGGGGCAGGTTGGATACTAAACCTCATCAAGTGAGACAATGGGTAATGTTCTACAACTTCCTGGCTAGGGGCAGTTGGAATTAGCACCTCTGTTTCCTCACCCATGTGGCAGCCTTTTTACCGTAGACCCTTTGAGCTACCCAATAGTCACCGTGAAGCTCCTAGGACTGGTACTAACATAGGAACTGTGTAGCTCTAAATTGGAGATTAGCCATGTCTCAGAACCTTGCAAGTATTTCTACACATCCGTTTTGGGGGGGGGATGCTGTTGTTTCTGAGACTTGAACTTTGGGGTGTTTATCTAATCTTTCCTCTTGTGTTTTTTAATAGCTGTCCCCTTGTGGGTCTTGCATTAGCACTGTTTGATCACTCAGACTAGTGATGCTTGTTTTAATGCTAATGATGAACTTTGAAGATTTCAGCCTTTAAGCTGTACCACCCGAGTATCTCTTTGCCTTCTTAAATTCCCTGTACAGTTTTTGGTGACAGCTAGCAAAGCATGCTGTGGTCTTAAATTGCTTGTATAATGTTACTTTGAGCTGCTAAAGTAGCTGCCACTTTCTCCCCAGAGATGTGGTTGCGTTTCGTTGGGGGGTGAAGCAGTTTTCGGCGAATGATATGCTATGGTGTTCAAGCCTTTAGGACAAAAGGTGCTCTATAAGTGCAAGCAGTTCAGTATCTGGATCCAGTCGGGGCCCCAAGAAAGCGATGGTTAGCGACTGACCCATTAGCGTTGGAATTCAGCTTTCGGAACTGGACAGCTGGGAGCTGGCCAGGTTAAAGGAGTCCATGGGGCTTCCTTCAACATTAAAGTACTCGTTTGCTGTAATACATATAGAACACAGTTAATCTATATAGCCAGAGCGTTTTGATGAAGTTCTTGGAATCGCTGCTGCTTGCCACAGTTTAGCTCCTTTAATACCATTTGAAGCTGGCTTGCGCTGTACTATATTAATCTAATAAGTGCAGCTCCATAGAGAATGAGGTACAGAAACATGTGGTGGTTGTCAGCAGAGCCCATTTGGTATGGGGTGAGCTCCCCTCTCTATCTTATCTAGTGAATTGGTAAGTGGGTGAAGGGCCTTGGTGGATGGAGGGATTTGGACTCTTGGCTGCGTTCATGTGAAATTAACTTTTCTCTTCCCCACCGTTGTGTATGTTCCTTTCCCTAGTGATCTAGAATGTTCTCTAGAGGTTCCCGTGCATCCTGTGGTTGAACTCTGACCATTAAACGCTCTCCTTTTCCCTGCTGTTTCCTAGCTCAGCTGAACAAGCTAGAAGGGCTACAAACCATTGCTGTCACAACCAACGGGATCAACTTAGCTAGGCTGCTGCCACGGCTGAAGGAGGCGGGGCTGGATGCCATTAACATCAGCTTGGATACTCTGGTTCCGGCCAAATTTGAGTTCATCGTCCGGAGGAAAGGTACAGAAATTCAAATAACATCTCACTGGTTATAGGGTAACATTGTCCATCTTTTTATATTCCTGTTTGTTCATCCAGTCTCTTTCAAACTTCTACTGTTAGAGAAGTGAGATTCCCTTCCTTAAGACCAGCCTAAAATATCTACACTGGGCTTGAGTTTGATAGCTGGCCCTTTTCCCTTCTACTCAGCCTTCTTTCACAGGCAAAACCCCTTTTCATGAGAATGGGTGGAATAAAGAACACTTGTGAATAACAGCTTGAGGTAGGAGGTCTCATAACTACATTTGTCAATTCTCATCTCTACAATGTTCTCCTGTTCAACACTTTCAGCCAAAAACAGAAACAATACCCTGAAACCAATTGCCCACCATTATTAATCAAATGAAGGCATGAATGGCTGCCAGATTGTTTCCTTGCCACCCACAAAAACTGAAAGAGATTCATCCAGATCAGTGGTGGACAACCTACTCCTTGCCATAACCATAGGTTACAACTGACACAAGTTTTTTTTTTGTTTTTTGGTTGTTTTTTTTTTGTGACAACCCCTCCTCCTCGCATGTCTAACCATAAAGAAAAAGAAGATGGTCATAAGTCACTGAAACCCATTTGTTACTCCCAGATTCAGAACCTATTATACCCGAGTACTGGATGATGATGAATACAGAATATATTCACTGTGTACCAGGTTGGTCCATGATTTGCCTGCGATACACCAGCTCTGCTTCTTGTACTGACATTTGTTCTTCAACTCTCTAAACATTTGTTTTCCTTGGAGTACAAGCCCTTCCACACACTTCCTACAGTGAATCTGCTTAAGGACCCATCAAATGGGCAATCTTGTGACTTAAGCAACCAATTTAAAATGTCCCCATATGGTTTACTATACTGCTTCTGTTGACTCCTTCAGGTAGGTCCTGGTGGCCTGTGAAATGAGTTAATGGTTCAGTCCAGTTCCTAGTGGACAAATATCCTGCATTGAAATTAGCTTCAGAACTGGCACTATTTGGAATCTTGTTGGCATTTCCAGCAGAGAAAGGACTAAATAGGCCACAAAGACTGAAACTTGCTTTCAGCAGTAGAAGTGGTCTTTCCTGGTCGTGCTTGAGGTGTGTTTAAATGTGTAGTGAGACATTTTTATGGGCCCAAGAGCAAACTATTCCATTGTAAAGGAAAGATAGGCAGTATGGTAAGAGACCACCCTGACTTAACCAGAAGATCTTCAATGACCTGAAACTTTAATAATAATAATAAAAAAAAGTCATGCGAAAGTGTAAACTAGGTCAAATTACAAAGGATAAATATTTTAAAACAAAAAACACAAGCATGTAGGGACACAAATAGAGATTAAACTAGCTAGGGACATAAAGGGTAACAAGAAAACATTTTGCAAAAACATCAGAAGCAAGAGGAAGACCAAGAACAGAGTTGGCTCATTTCCCAACAAGGAGGGAAAGGCAACAGGAAATGCAGCACTGGCTGAAGTGTTAAATGCCTTTTTTGTTCATTTTCACCAAAAATGTTAGCAAAGTGAACATCAGTGTGAGTTGGGTAGGATCTGAGGCTAAAATAGGGAAATAAGTTAAGAATTTCTTAGACAAATTGGATGCCTTCAAGTCTGCAGGGTCTGATGAAATACATCCTAAAATACTTAAGGAACTGGCTGAAGAGATCTGAGTCATTATTAGCCACTATCTTTGAGAACTTGTGGAGGATGGGAGTGATCACAGAGGGACTGGAAAAGGGCAAATAGAGTACCCATTTGTAAAAAGGGGAATAAGTACAACCCAAGGAATTACAGACCAGTCAGCTTAACTTAACCTGGAAAGATAATGGAGCAAATAATCAAACAATCAATTTGTAAGCACCTAGAAGATAATAAGATAATAAGTAACCATCAACATGGATTTGTCAAGAACAAATCATATCAAACCAACCTAATCTTCTTTGACAGTGTAACAAGCCTTGTGGATGGGGGGTGGGAGGGGAGAGGTGATATATGTCACTTTAGTACACTTGAAATGCTATAGTGGCACAGCAGAAAAGGTTCTGGCGGTTATAGTTGATCACAAACTAGATATAAGTCACAAATGTAATACTGTTGCAAAAAAAGCAAAACTTTATTCTGGTATGAATTAGCAGGAGTGGTGTAAGCAAGCCATGAGAAGTAATGCTTTCACTCAGCACTGATAAGGCCTCAGCTGGATACCGTGTCCTGTTCTGGGCACCACACTTCAGGAAAAATGTGGACAAATTGGAGAAAGTCAGAGGAGAGCAACAAAAATGATTAAAGGTCTAGAAAACATGATCCATGAGGAAAGACTGAAAAAACTGGGTTTTAGTCTGCAGAAGAGAAGACTCAGAGGGACCATGATAACAGTTTTCAAGTACATAAAAGATTGTAAAGAGGAAAGTGATAAATTGTTCTCTTTATCTGCTGAGGACAGGAGAAGACGCAATGGGCTTAAATTGCAGCAAGGAAGATTTAGGTTAAACATTAGGAAAGACTTCCTAACTATAATGATAACTAAGCACTGGGACAAATTACATAAGGAGATTGTGGAAGCTCCATCATTGGCGGTTTTTAAAAACAGGCTAGACAAACACCTGTCAGGGATGGTCTAGAAACAGTCTAGATCATACTTAGTCTTGCCTCAGCCTAGGGGACTGCACTAGACTAGATGACCTATTGAGGTCCCTTCCAGTCCTCCATTTCTGTCATTCTATGTTGGTGTTGTGTGTGTAGTTTGTACTGCTGTCCATCCTGTACTTTTTAATGTGGATAAACAGAGCATGAGGTCACTGATGAGGCAGTATGAGTCCTATAACTTTTTTTTTTTCTAGCTAGTGAATCCAAATGTAAATTTCAGAGACCTAGGACAACAAATACAAAATGTGATGATGATATGTTAAAAGTTCCTTTTAAATGAACCTCAATGCTCAACATGAAGTTCAACCCAAATTTTCAGGTTTGGTGAATTTCATGTTGGGGAAAAAATCTCTCTTCACTCCCTTATTTTTTTAAATGCAAAAACAAAAACAAAAAAAAAAAACCCAAAAATCCCCAAACCCTCAGTGTCTGTGAACCTGCTAGCTTATAGACAATGTCTCCCCTTAGCCACAAGATGGTGCTGCAGTACCAGTAAAGTCAAGAACAAGCTATTTAAAACTCTGCAGGGCTATAGAGAAAGGTAACTGTAAGGTACTGAGCACTTGGCCATGGACCCAAGGTTTCACAAATCAGACTAAACCTAGAGTGTAGCATGATCCATGTCTATGACAGGTGAGGAAAGATTATCGGTCTCTTTCTCTCTCTGCATACTTGTTTGGTTAATCATCTGGCTCATGATGAGGAAATTCACTGTGTTTGGATACAGCTCTCACACAAATGAACATTGCCTCTCTAACTTTCTCATCTAGGGAATGTCATTGGTGTGGTTGCCTCATGGTAGATAGTGCAGGAAAATATCTGGCTGTCCCAGGGCACAGCTGGGAGTCCTGTCCACTCTTTGCTTTTCACTACCTGCACTTAAAGACTAGCCAGTTTCAGGCACTTGTGGGGAAATGTGTTCCTTCTCTCCTATTGAAGGGATAAACCTGATCCTGCAGCTTCAGCAGCTCTGGATATCTGATTGGGAGTCATTAGCAATGTGCTGCTTACAAACTGCATCTCACTAAAACTTGTTGAGGGAAAGGCATAATTATGTATGTTCTTAGGGGAAAAAAAGGGGGGGTCTTTTAACCACAGAAAGGGAATCTAGAGAGTGCTGCTGAGCCCAAAGGTGCAGGGGAGAGATGGGGAAATTCCCAGAGGTTTTAATAAAATGTATAAAAGGGAAGGTAAGAGTAAAGTTACTAATTTTCTAAGACTTTGGGTGAAGAAGAAATAGGGTGAAACCAATAACTCCAAAAGTGGGTGATTAGTTTCATCCATTTTATTTTAAAAAAAAAAAGTAGTACTTTTGCATGTCTTTAGACCAAGTTTTATAGTGAATGGAAGATTTTTGTCATAGGGATGAGTCGAGTTATAATATGAAAGCACAGTGGCGAAGACACTTTAGGGCTTATTTTCCGGGGGGGGGGTGGGAATCCAGACAAAAGGTTTGGTTCTATAGGCTCAGGGGATTTTCCGTGGCTCAGTAATCCTATTGTCTGGGAACTTTTACAGTGGTTATACTAGAGTCTGAGGAATAAACCATAAATCATGGGCCATATCCACCATGATTGAATTGGCCTTGTTAGCGCTACAAAAGATAATTTTCCCTCTGTCTCAGAGTAGCAGCCATGTTAGTCCTGTATCTGCAAAAAGAAAAGGAGGACTTGTGGCACCTTAGAGACTAACAAATTTGAGCATAAGCTTTCTTGAGCTACAGCTCACTTCATCAGATGCATGAAGTGAGCTGTAGCTCATGAAAGCTTATGCTCAAATAAATTTGTTAGTCTCTAAGGTGCCACAGTCCTCCTTTTCTTTTTACCTCTGTTGATATTCACCCTTTCTTGTCAACTGTTGGAAATGGGCCACATCCACTCTAATTGAATTGGCTTCGTTAGCACGGACCCCCCACTCAGTAAGGCAACTCCCATCTTTTCATGTGCTGTGTTTTTATACCTGCCTAATGTATTTTATTCTCCATGCATCTGATGAAGTGGGTTCTAGCCCACAAAAGCTTATGCCCAAATAAATTTGTGGCACCTTAGAGACTAACAAGGACTCCTCGTCGTTTTTGAGGAATAAACTTGTACATTAGGGAGGGAGGATTGTGCAGTGGTTGGGATGTTGACCTGTGACTCGGGAGACCTGGGTTCAATTCCCTGCTCTGCCATAGATTTCCTGTGTGACCTTGGGAAAGTCACTTAGGCCCAGATCCTCAAAGGTATTTAGACACCAAACTCCCATTGATTTTAATATGAATTAAGCACCTAAATACCTCTTGAGGATCTGGGCCTTAATCTGCCTTCAGTTCCCTTTTGGGAACATGGAGATAATAGTACAGCCCTACCTCACGGAGATAGGGAGGATAAATGCACTAAAGATTTTGAGATGGTCTTATACTTCAAAAACAGGGGCCACGTAAGTAACTTAGATGCATGAAAATGAGGAACATGGTGCCTCAGCTCCTTCCTGCCCTCCGCACCCTATGGAATGAGCTGGGGAGAATACCTGCACTTTGATGCTGATGGTCGAAATGAGTTTACAACCTGCCTTGCTTTTTCAGATCGCCCCTGGAGGCAATGAGATAACAGCCTCCCTCAATCACATCCTTGAACTTGTGGCTTCAAACTACTTCTCCTGCAGGGATGAAATCTGGGAGGTGGAATCCCAGCTGAGAGCATAAGCACTTCTCTGGATAGGACCCTGCCTTGGAGAGTCTGAGGGACTGAGTGTGTGTAGCTGGGAATAAGAGGAGGAATTGAGAAGGATAATTGTTTATATATCACAAGCTGTAATCCTCCTCAGATCCTCCCTACCCGGCTGAGCCCAAGCGTGCATGGACTCGTGTGTGCCTGGTGTCTTTAATCTGCTGTTTGGGGCTGTGTTTTGATGACTGGCCAAGGGGAGGGAGGGGGGTTCAATTAAAGCTCACCTTTTGGCATTGCCTAAGTCACACTATTCCCTCTCCATTCAGTCCTTGCCAAAGGTTGCTGGGCTTCCCAGTCGCTGTTCGTGACTCTGGGACATGTTTACAAGCAGTGCGTTACGATCTCTCCTGCCATGTTTAGTCTGCAGCTTGCTTAATGAGAATAAAACCCACTGTTGATGTCATGGGCTTCCTAGGTGCCAGCAAAGCAAACACTCTTGTGAGGAGGAGAAAGCAAACAGGTTCTGAATTCAAGCAGCTGATGTTGGCGTCAGTTCTCCAGTTCATTAGTCCTGTGCTCTTCACCCCTGCATCCCACTTTCATCCTTCTGTTTTGCAGGGCTGGCATTAAAGGAGCTGTAGTTGTGGGTCAGAAAAGATCAATGGGACTGGCATCCTCTGCTTCCCTCTTGTGCACCCGTGTTTGGTGTGCCCACTCTGAACTAGCCAGGGAACAGATGGGTTCAAGCTCCCAGCTCCCTGATCTTGTTCGTGGCATTCTTTGCACAGTTGGTACTGGAGAAAGGCACTGGATGGGCAGCCCTGGAGACAGAAAGGCACTTTCTTATTTCCAGTAGCATCCACAGTGTGCTGGGCGCTTCTCAACCCAACAGACCAGGACCCCATTGTGCTGGACACTGTACAAACCTCGAACAAAAATCAGGCCTTGCCCCAAAGAGCTTACAATACTTAGTGTGTATGAACCCCTCTTCTCTTGCTACAGCAGTGGCCCCACAGGAGTTCAGGCTCCATGGCTCACTCTGGCACCACTGCCTTCACTGCCAATGGGGAGGGACACTTAGTGCTAATTCTGATGATGGTTTTCGATGTGAACACGTGTCCCCTAGGAAATAGACTGACAATGATTCCCGTTGCGGCCACCTGTTCACAGCAAGGAACAACTTTTTGCTGCCAGGTCTCTTCTTAACTTTAACAGAGAAACTGGATTATCACTTGGGGTGGGGTTGTAGGGAGAATGGGAAAGGAGTTCAGATTTCTCCAAGGCCCTTGGACTCATGAATTGTCTAGCTGCTTGGCAATTAGGAAGAATAAGTATTGAGTGGACTCTCTGCCTGGAGGTGGGAGGTGGGTGTAGATGCAATATGTGAGGATGAGGCTAAGAATTTCTCTTGCTGAAGTCACTGCAGTTTGATTCTTGTCTCATCCTTTCCAGAAGGTCAAAGGCCAAGCTGAACTGGTTTCCTAAAAGCTCTCTTTCAGTGTGCCCATCAAACTGATGGGTCAAATGATTCATAAAATGAGGATGCCATGAAAAGTCACCTGTCACCTTAAAACCAAAATCAAAGTCAAAGCCATTCGCTTTTCCAGGAGCCGATATAAATCTGTGGTGAAGGGCGAGTTGGGAATTTTGGTGTTTTTGTCCATTTATTGATTCATTTAGCAGCTCGTTGCAGAGTGTTCCGTTTTCAGAAAGTGCCGTGCTGCAGCCTTAGTCGAGGCAAAAATGCAAAAGACCCCTTTCCGGATGGCCTCTTTTAGCAATAATTTAGTCGGGTTTTTTTCCCCATTAAATCTGGGAGCACTTTTTATAGACTCTCTCCCACTTCGGTGAGACTGGGGGTAGTGCCGGGCCAAGCTGAAGCACGGAGAAGTTAAGGGCCTGATTTTTTGAAGGTATTGGGTGCCAAAAAAACATGCAAGGGTGCCAGTGGGATTTCCACAAGCCACTAAGCAACACTGCATTTTTTGGGCACCCAAATATCTTCAAAAATCTGGCCGCAAGTGACTTGCCGAAGGTCACACTAAGTCTGCAGCAGAGTTGGAGATGGAACAAAAGTCTCTTGACTTCAGTCCCGTCTACTGGACCAAGCTGTTTTGTCTCTGCCATCTTTTTGTCTGATACTGACTTGCTCATCTACATTTTTGTTAAGACTTAATTCTTGTTCAATTTTAGGCTTTCATAAGGTAATGGAAGGAATCAACAAAGCCATTGAACTGGGGTACAATCCTGTTAAGGTAAGATCATTTGGTGTGTAGTGCCCTTGAGCCCTGTGTTTTATTCTGACTTGATACTTCAGCTGTGAGGTTTTTTTTCCTTCAGAGGTTGGCAATTTTTGTAAATATTAAAGAAATTTTCCAGTAGCATCGCAGGACATAAGGGTGATCCCACCTCTTCACCGTGTGTAGCTGACTCGGCCATTTTCCATTCAGGGCCTCAGGGCATTGAGATCTTACATGGAAACACCAGGCTCTCTGCACAATGGGTTCAGGCTCCTTCTCTACCCTCCAGGTGAACTGTGTAGTGATGAGAGGCCTCAATGAGGATGAGCTATTGGACTTCGTGGCGCTCACGAAGAACCAGCCGCTCGACGTGCGGTTCATCGAATACATGCCCTTCGACGGTCAGTACTCCTGGTCTGTAACTGCCTGGGCAGTTTTTGCCTTCTCTCGGGGGGGAGTGAATGTGGCTGACAAGTCTTCACTACTTGGGCTTCTTTTCTGAAACCTGATTGCGTTGACTGTCTGCTGCAGGGTGCCTGAACCCCTATTTTAAACCTAAGAGAAGCTTTGTGTAAAGTAGCCATTGTAGTTTTCACTGCTGGGACCAAGTACACAGGGCAAGTGGATGGCAGGTCAGTGTGTAGTGGGTCGGAGGTTGGGTGCCCTGCAATTACCAGGAGCTGAAGGAGGGTCTGGCTTGTTGTATATTGGAGATGCCTTTCCTGCGAGGGAAATCTGGAAATGGAATGGTATCACGGTTCTAAGACGTGCTCTGCCTGTGAAACTTCCTTAGCTCCCTCCCACCATCTGTTTTCTATCACTGTAGCTGTCTATGGAGTGGGCTGTTCTGCTTATGGTGAGTTGAGACATGGGGTACGTCTACACAGCAAAGAAAAACCCATGGCTGGCCAGTCCCAGCCAATTCAGGCTTAGGCTGCAGGGCTGCGTCATTGCTGTGTAGACTTCTGGGCTCAGGCTGGAGCCCAGGCTCTAGGACGCTACAGGGTGGGAGGTTCCGAGAGCTCAGTCTCTATCTATCTCTACACAGCAATGAAACAGCCCTCAGCCCGAGCCCCATGAGCCCAAATTGGCTGGCACGGGCCAGCTATGGGTTTTTGTTTCCTGTGTAGACATACCCCTGGTGCCCTTCAAGAACCCAGGATTCTAGCCTCTTTGCTTCCCATGCTCCAGAAAGAAAGTGTCCTCAGTGCTCACGGTATCAATATTGCTCTTTGTTGGGGTGCACTTTTCCTGCTAACTCTTTCCAGGAAGATCGATCTTGATCTCCCCCTTCCAAGGTACCAGATTTTTGGAAAACTGGGGCCATCTCCCCAAGCTATTCCAACTTGGAATAGCTTGATCTTCAGCTTCTGCATTAAACTGTGCCAGCACAAGGGCAGAAGCCACAAATCTGTGCCAGAGCTAGCAAACGTAGAGTCCTCAGCTAGGACTCGTGTTGTCACTTCATCGACACACAGTTGTTCTGATTGTCTCTCTTCAGACCTTTGCCCCTCCTGACAAGTCCAGGTTGGTTCACAGTTCACTGCATCCTCTTACCCAAGGAGACAAGGATTGTTAGAACTTGTCTGAGATTGCTATAGTCTAGAGGGGCCAATACAGGTCTTCACGGTTTGGGTGTTGAAAGGGGCGACTGAAATCCAGGTAAAAGGACTTTCTGTTCTTTCCTATTTAAAAACTCCTGGTGGCAAAATTTGTGCTGATTTCAAACCTAGGCAACAAGTGGAACTACAAGAAGATGGTGAGCTATAAGGAGATGCTGGATACAGTCAGGCAGAGATGGCCTGAATTGGAGAAGCTGGCTTGTGAGGCCTCCAGCACAGCCAAGGTGGGTGCAGGCTAAGAGCGCTATGAAGGGAGACCCAGTGCTTCAGCAAAGTGCACAATAACTTATATTTGTAATGGCTAGACCAAAGAGGATTAGCATGTGGCAAAATGCTCCAGAGCCACATATGTAATAATCCCAAGGTCATCGATCAAACTGCATGCACACAGCCTCAGTGAGCAACAGTCATTAACTTTTCCCATGGAAATACCAGGCACCTACCAATTACTTGTCTGTCAGATGTGAGTGTCAGTGGGGTAGACACATCGGGGCTTATTTTTGGGGGGTATCCAAACAGAGGGATCTGGTTGTGTCACTCATAGGAGTTTCCAAGGTTTGAGGAATACTAAACCTGAATTCTCTAGACATATCTTTATTCCCATCTTAGTCTTCATTCAAACCTGGGATCTAGAGGTGACAGGTCTTAATCTCCCCTGATTCGGTATATAATTAAAGAAAAGAGAACCAAAACAGGCACCCTTTAGACTTATTAAAAGTTGAGGAGCAGTCATTGATGCAATGTTTTTGTTTGTTTAAATCATTTTAATATAAAATAAGTTTAGGCCATAACACAGGTTGTTGTTTCAAATTTAATTTTAACCAGGTTTATTTTTCAAAAGAAAAATGTACCTAATTTAAATCACAAATCCATTTAAAACATGTAAATATCATTGACTTTTATCCACCCTGATCTATTCTTCTGTCCCGGGGCTGCTTCAGGCTTACAAGGTACCAGATTTCCAGGGGCAGATCAGCTTTATTACCTCCATGTCAGAGCACTTCTGTGGATCCTGCAATCGGCTGAGGATAACTGCAGATGGGAACCTGAAGGTAGGCAATGAAACAAGAGGCCCTTCACCGACTTAGGCCATGTGTATACTACCTGCTGGATCGGCGGGTAGCGATTGATCTATCGGGGATTGATTTATCGCGTCTAGTGTAGATAAATCGATCCCCGATCCCTCTGCCCTCGACTCCGGAACTCTACCACGGCGAGAAGTGGAAGCAGAGTCGACGGGGGAACGGTGGCCGTCGATCCCGTGCTGTGAGGACGCAAAATAAGTGATACTAAGTCGATCTAAGATATGTCGACTTCAGCTACGAGAATGGCGTAGCTGAAGCTGCATATCATAGATCAACCATCCCCCCCACCTCACTTAGCATAGACGAGGCCTTAGAGCTGAAATAAGGAGTTGAATTACTTCTCTTAAATGGAACGGTGTTGGAGATGGAAGAGGCAGTAGTGGAGAGGAGAGGGGAAGTCAAATGAAGGTGAGATTGAGAGAGGGATAGAATGTAAGGGGGTGGTCGGGGGACAGGAGAAGGAGCATTCAGATGGAGACTGTAGCTACACGGTAAACTGCAATGTAAGGAGAGGAATCAATGGCCAAAGAATTGCTCCATTGTGCAGCACTCCGATTTAAAAGAATGTCAGTGTGAAATCTTGTCAGTTTAAAAAAAAAAAATAGTTTTGGGTCCACCTGCCTGAGTCCCCCTGCTAACTTTTGTGGCTTTATATTTGCAATTTTCCTTTCTCTGTTTTTAAAAAAAGTGTGTTCTATGTTGACGCACCAGTGACCCTGCCTGTAAAGAGGTCACAGTGAGACTGACTGTACACCAAGCGATTTCAAATGCAGAAAGTGAACAGAGGGAATAAAATTCCTTATTTTTACTTTCAAACAATTTTGTGTTGTGTGACAATAGCAAATTTAAAAAAAAAAAAAACCACTTTGACGGAAATAACGTGTAAGTGGCTGTAACCGGGTCAAAACCATGCATTTTCCATGTACCTTTCAATACTTGTATGGTGAGATTCATTTGTCAATGTTCAGGACCCTTTGCTGAGCAAAAGAGTAGGTGTCCTCTAAGTTAGCTGGAGGTGGCACAATTGTACTAAAGCAACTTTCCCAGGAGCAAAGTAATGCCATGACAGAGATGGCAACTTTGTATTGGCATCAAATCAGTTTGTGTGCATTCTCAGCAATTGCAATGTACTTTAAAAATCTAGAAGCGGTATCTGTGGAACTTTTGAAAAGGCCTCCTGCTTGAATACTTGCTTCCTGGATTACCCCTGGGGACCAGGTGGAGCATCTCTCAGCCCTGCCATGGTGCAAGAAGACCTACAACAGCAGGAGAGATGAAGGAAGGGGAAAAAATGTCAGGGCATCTCTGCCTGCCTGCTGTGTTTCCAGATGGTCCCATTCTATATACTCCTAAAGTCAATGGCTGGCTGGTGGCTTTAGGAGCCCTAGAGATAGGGGAACTGTAGGTGGTGTTCTCCCATGGGCCAGGTTGGTTTTTTGCTGCCTGATGTTCAGGTGAACTGCTGTAGTATTGGATCCTGTTGGGTTCCCAGCAAAACATTGTTTGGCTCCCAGACGTTGGACCTGTTCTGAGTTGAATTCTGAGCATTGCAGCCCAGCAGGCCACTGAACCTTGTTATCCAGTGGTCAGTCAGCCAGACCCAGTATTGCAGTGAATTTCTAGTTTTACAGCCCATCCCATGTAATTCTGTTCCATGCCACAGTTCAACGCTAGAAATTAACATTAGAAATGTTCATCCTTGAAAATGAGCCTGGAGATCTGGGTACTGTAGGGTTTGTCTCCCACATGTTCATTCAGAGGCCTGTGTGCACCCCCACCCCCCTTTTAGGTTTTGGAAGAGTATGGAATTGCACAGCTTCCCTACTCTGCCAACTCAGAGACCCTCACAGCTGCAAGGAGCTATGCAGAGAAAAGACAGCAGTGTCTTAGCCTGCAGAGGCTGGGAAGTGTCACTGCCTTTTTATTATTTGAATGCTTTGCTCAGTTTTCACCCAGGATGCTGATGTTGGTTGTAATAGGAATAGTGTTTCCCAGCTGGCTTTATTCACTGTGTCTCTTCCCCTTGGTTTATTGCAGGTGTGCCTTTTTGGGAACTCAGAAGTGTCCTTGAGGGATCACCTACGGGCTGGTGCTTCGGAGGACAAATTGGTTCAAATTATAGGAGCAGCAGTGGGCAGAAAAAAGAAACAGCATGCTGGTATGTTTACTGCGTACAAGTAATAATGAGGGGTTAGTACAGATGATGCCCTTTCCTAAAATAGGATGGATGATTCGCAAGACCTGGTAGCAGGGAGGGAAAAGCTATTCTGTGGAATTATAGTGACTCAGGAGAGGAAACTCTGAGGTTCCCACTTGATTCGGCGCATTATCTGCCACTGGTCTTAATGAGGCAACTGTGCCTCACTGTCTTCTGTCACAGCGAGGCTCCTTGTCAGTCCCTCTGCTAGGACAGCCACCCCCTACTCTTCCTTCTGGGGTGCACCCCTGCACTTTCTAGCAGGAAGTCCCATGGGCTCTCTATGCAGCCTTGCCGGGGAGCATCCCTCATTCTCTCTGGCCCTCTGTGTTCCTCAGGGACCAGCGGCTAAAGCCATCTGCTGCTGTCCTTTCCTTTGGTCCTCCCTAGCCCTTGGCTCTGGCTCAGAGCCAGCAGGCAACTCCCTCTGCTGCTTCTCCTGCCTTCAGCCTTCTGGCTTGGGGAGGTCAGCCAGCAGTCTCCTCTTGCTGTTCTCCTGCCTTCAGCCTTATTTCAGGAGATCCACTTTCTGTCTCTGGCAGCTTTTATCTCTGGCCCTTCTCCTGTCTGGTTATTACCATCCCTAGTGGCAACCCTGTAATTTGCGGTCAACCTACCTTCTTGTTATGGATGCAAACCTTTTTCCCTTGCCTGCCTTTCCACTTTGCAGCATTCTGTGAGATCCACATTTTCTCATTAGAATTAAATGAAGACCACAAGTACCGGAGCTAGGCTGCGGATCCATCTAGTCCAATCTCTTGTTTCTGACTGTGACCAGTACTGATTCTTCAGAGCAAGCGGAGAGAAACTGTTAAGACACAGCTGGCTCTGCAGCACTGCTCTCGGGATGGGGAATGGTTTCATAACCCCTGTGGTAATGCATTTACACCCTGATGCTTGAGACTGGATTCTTCTTCTCTCAGCTGGCATACTTGCAAATGATTTTATTCACAAATCTTGTCGAGCTGCCTTTAAAAAGTCAGCTGCCATATGAAACTGTGATCTCCTGCGCAGTGAATTCTAGACACTGACTGTTTGCTGGGAGGAAGTATTTCCTTTTTTGTCCTAAGTACATTTGCCATTAACTTTATTGAGTGACTCTTTAGTTCTCTTGTAAATCCCAGTAGGCCCCTAACAGTTGTCATTAGCCTTCTCTGGACCTAGTAAATCTATCTGCAAGTGAGGTGACCAAAGCTGAGTGCTCTCTCAAGAGGGTAAATCCAGGTTTTTCAACTTCTGTCATTCCAATCCCCAACCATTCTGATGCTTGTTTTACCCGGCTGCCTCTGTACACTAAGCAGACAACCTTCATGTCCTGGGAGGAATCCGACCCGTTCAGCACTCCTCAGTATATGAGCGTAGACTGATTTTTACTGTGCACAAGTCTTACCCAAACACAATTGGGTCTGCCGCCATGCTGTCCAGTAAATCTAAACCAGGGGTCAGCAACCTATGGCACGCATGCCAAAGACAGCACGTGAGGCGATTTTTAATGGCATGCTGCTGCCTGCCGAGTCCCAGCCACCGGCCCCGCTCAGCTTGCTGCCGAACCCAGGCCGGGACCCCGGTAGGCAGCAGCGTGCCGTTAAAAATCCTGCCTGCCCTGGCCCGCTCTTTTCCGCCCCACCATGGGGGCAGGGTGAAGAAGCTTGGTACTGCCGGCTGCTGCTGCAGGGCAGGCAAGCTTCCCCCTCCCCACTCCATGCTGGGTTCCTGCCCCTCCTCCTCTCCCTCCCTGCTGCTGATCAGCTGATGGCCCTTGCAGGGAGGGGGATCCGGGGAGGAGGTGGAGAAGAGGTGGAGACGGGGCCTTGGGGAAGGTGGGTGGAATCAGGGCATATCACCTCCAGCCCCCTGCCGTGAGCTGCTTTGGGCAGGGGGCTGGGAGCACCCCCACGACTCCAGCCCACACCCCCAGCCCTCTGCCCTCACCCCTGCACTCCCCCCCACGACCCCAGCCCTGACTCCGGTACCCCACACACATACCCAGCCCCCTCACACCCATGTCCTGACTCTTGCACCCCCCCATATTCCCACCCCCACCCTGAGCACCAAATGGGAGCTCCTGCACCCCCCACATTCCCACCTGCACCCCTTGCACCAAATGGGAGCTGCCCAGGTAAGCACTCCACCACCCCAACCCTGAGCCCCCTCCCTCATTCTAGCTCCTGGCCAGACCCTACACCCCAACCCCCAGCCCGCTCCTTCACCCCCAGCCCTGTGCTCAGTGCACTCCCACCCTCAGCTCAGTACAGAGAGAGAGGAAGAGAATGGGCTAGAACCAGGGAGAAGGTAGGTACGTACTCACTCTGTGTGGGCAGGGCTGGGATCCCAGACTGGCAGCGGGCTGAGTGGGGCTGGCAGCCAGGACCGGGGCTGGCAGCCAGGACCCTGGCTGGCAGGAGCCGGTGGACTGAACCCCAGACCGGCAGCAGGCTGAGCTGCTCAGCCCACTGCTGGTCTGGGGTTCTGGCTGCGAGCCCCTTGCCAGCCAGGGTCTTGGCCACAGGCCCCACTCAGCCTGCTGCCGGCCTAGGTGAACGGACCCCCAGGCCGGCAACAGGCTGAGCGGGCCGGCGGCATAAGATCAGCATTTTATTTTAATTTTAAATGAAGCTGCTTAAACATTTTGAAAACCTTGTTTCCTTTACATACGACAATAGTTTAGTTATATAATATATAGACTTATAGAGAGAGACCTTCTAAAAAATGTTAAAATGTATTACTGGCACACGAAACCTTAAATTAGAGTGAATCAATGAAGACTCGGCACACCACTTCTGATGATCACTTTAGATAAGCTATTACCAGCAGGACAGTGGGGTGGGAGGAGGTATTTTTTCATATTCTCTGTGTATAAATAAAGTCTGCTGCAGTTTCCACGGCATGCATCTGATGAAGTGAGCTGTAGCTCACGAAAGCTCATGCTCAAATAAATTGGTTAGTCTCTAAGGTGCCACAAGTACTCCTTTTCTTTTCACTTCTGAAAGGTTGCCGACCCCTGATCTAAACGGTACCTCCATCTGGAGTCTTTCACGAGCCTTTTTTTAATACTCGGATCAATATGAAGTCCTCGGTATATGCCAACTCCGTGTTCCCTGCTGCCTTCAGATCATTCGTAAATGCTCGTCTCTGTACCACCAATCCTGGGGGATCTCGGTTTTCGCTTGCCTTGTACAGGAAGGTGTCCAGGTGTATTGGGAGAGATATGTGCAGCCTATTTACCGACACAGTGAAATCCCATTGCTGCTACTGAAATATGACTGTATGTCTAAGGTACTTCAATGGCCCCCATCGCCATAGTAACGGAGCGTCTCTCAATCTTTTAACGTAGTTGTTGTTGCAACCCTTCGGAGGCCATATAAATACTATTATCCCCACGTTTATAGATGGGGAATTGAGGCACTGAGAGCCTGCGTGACTTGCCCAGATAACACAGGAAGTTTTGTGGCAGAGCAGGTAATCGAACCTTGGTATCCCAAGTCCTGGGCTAGTGCTCTAACCACTGGAGCATCCTTCTCCAGTCTGTCTGAATTGTGTGACTGCTGTAACATGCAGAGAGTAATTCTGGTTATAGGAGCCTTTCTGAGAAAAAGCTTCACTGTATGGTGGCTGCTCTGGACTTGGGCACTTGGATATTGTCCTCAGACCGTTTTACATTTTAATGAGTTAAATGGTATTTTCTTGGTAGTTTTTCGGGCTCTCCTTTTCCTACTGTGTAGGTTAGGAATGACAGGGTCCAGGACAGCAGAAGAAAATAAATAGAATAAGATAAATTACTTAAAATGGGTGTTTTAAAAAAACTAGTAATTTTTACATTATTTTATTTCTAGGCATGTTTAACATTTCCCAGATGAAGAACCGGCCAATGATCCTGATCGGTGGGTGACAAATCAGTACGTAATACACACACCATGGTTTTATTAGGTTTACATCTCTGGGGAGTGGAAAGGATTGGGTTGGGGTTTTGTTTTGTTTTTTCCTAAGCTGCACACATTTCTGTTTCACTTTAGGCAGAGATGAACTGATTTTAAGAAATGCGGTCGATCTCTCAAAGAAAATAAGGGTGTGGGGGGAGAGAATTAGAGACTCATCCGTCAACTTCAACCTGTCATCCCGCCATACGTGGAATGGATCATTTATATGGCTTTCAACAGCTTTCATTTTGAGCTTTAAAAAAAACGTGTTAGGCTTTCAAAGTTGCATGTTAAGGCCTTTGCCTTTGGTACTATGCCTCCTGTTTGCTTCCTTTGCATTAAGCAAGACCAAGACAATGATACTACAGCACTTCTGGGTGTCCCTTGTAAAGCAGGATCTGGCTGAGAGATTGAACAAATTGCAGCGTAAACATTAAACTTGAAGGATGGAGGCTTCACTTTATTGCTGGGGTAGAATTCCTTGATGGTGCCACACTACTGGGGTCCCTGAGCTCAAGTGGTGTGGCATAGCTACCAGAAGAAAATCCTGCTCCTTCACCTCCCTGCCCATATCCCCTGAATCTGGACAAATGGGTATCAAAAACCTGGCATTTAATTGAGTTAACAGTGTGAGGACTCACTTGCCTAAACCATGAGGTGAGAATACCACTTACTAATTGCAGCCTAGTGTCTGTCTGCTACTTATATAGCACCCGCATCCATAGTGTCAGAATGTCTGAACCCCTAATGCCTTATACTAAACTGGACTAAAGGCTGGAGGGAGCAACAAGAGTACATTATTTTTTTTTTTTTCCCTTGTCTTCCCCAGGGCAGCATTTTCTAAACCACCCTTTGTTAGAAAGCTTGCCAAAGAGATCTCTGGCATTGACACAAGCACAAATCGGCTCTAATTCAAAGGCCGGGGGGGGGGACAGATTTCAAACCATTTACTCCTCTAATCAAATAGTCTAGTGGTCAGAATAGAGAACTAAGTCTCCTGGGTTTTATTCATGTCTGTGTTACTGATTCTTATGTGACACTGGCCAAGTTGGTTTGACTTTTCTGTGCCTGTATCTCCCTCTATTTTTAAGGAAGGGGCGGAAAGGTGTTGGGTGGATTGCAAATGAATAGTGAATATTTGTAAAAGCATTTTGAGATCCTTGGATGGAAGGTGCTCTAAGTATCATTCTTCCTTGCTAAGAAGTTCTGATGTATCAAGGGGAAAAATATTTTATATCAAGCCCACTTCTTCTCTTCCAAGCAAAGCAGCAAATCAGCCATTATTCATATTATGATTATAACTTGGTAACTCCAAAGCTGACAAGCGGGCAACTTCAAGTGCCTGGAGTGGGAACAGACAATTGTATCATTGGGAAGGCAGCATTCCTTAGATTTGCAAATCTCCACTGGGGCTGTTTTTGCAATACCTGTTGCTTTTAATCAGTACTCCAGTAAACTCCACTCAGTCTCTTTGCAAATGGATTCTGGAGAGTGTCTTATTAATCTGGTCTTTTGCTTTTACATTGTTTTTTGCCCTTCTCTTGGAAGAAAGGGTTCACTTAAGGTTCTTCCAATTCTCATTTCTTTGATACCATGCTATCTTCTGCCATATTGGGTTTGTAGGTGAACAGCTTGAACTGTGCAGACTATTCCTGGTCTCTCACTGTTTGCTTGGTTCTTTGGCTGAGTTGCTCTACTACGTTCCAGAAAAGGGGGAAACAGGTACAGTTATAGCAGTCTCACCTGCTGCAAAATGAGGATGGACTGGGCTTTTTGAATGGAATGAAAAACTATTTTACCTCCCAAACTAGACCCCCATCCACTGTCCTTTATAAAATATCTGTGGGGCTTCTCTTCAATTTTTAAAATGGCATTGGGAGGAAGAAGGGTGGGAGGTATGGATGCAGAGATGGGAATGTACCTGGCTTCTTTTGGAATAGCAGTCTTCTATTATCATTGCATGTAACCAGTCTGCCCTGTCTTTAAAAGTAACCACTGGCATTCTCTGCATAAACAGTACAGTCTCATGACCGGAGCTGAGTCAAGGATGACACAGTGTGACATGCAGACCATGGATACATATGGGAAGCAGATTGGGGGATTTCCTAATTTGTGTCTTTAATTGCAGGGTTCAGTTAAAGCCAGTGTGTGAACAGGCAGGAGGTAGAGAGAACATGGAATTCATTTAATCAAATCTAATGCAATGGAAATGATTAATCTCTCTTGCTGTCCTGGCAAGCTAAACCCATCTTCTTTTCTGTATTACCTAATTCTTGACCCCCTTTTATTTAATTTTGGTCTGTCCCGTAACTATTTTCCTTAATAGAAATATTAAGAATAGGCTGTTCTCCCAGCTTCACCTTAGTGATGGGATATTTCTCCTCTTACCTTCCAGTTGGAAATTTTTCAGTGATGAAACCAAGTTTAGCTTTGCAGATCTACTAATAAGGTACAAGCAAAACTCTGCTGATCTACATCAGTAGGAAGTTACTAGTGCATTGTACCCATCACAGGCATGGAAGTTCATGGTCTCGCTCTTTGCCTTTTTGTGTTACGTGAGCAATGTGGGTGAGGACAGAGGTACCATTGTGTGGGATTTAAAGGAAACTTGTATAAAAGAGGCAGCGTATGCTGCACCCTGAAAGTGCATGAGTGCAAGATGCCTCATCCAGCTTTCACTTACCTCTCTGTCTTCTCCACTTATCTACTCAAAACGTCCAGTTAAACAGAAATTGGTTATGTGCCCCCCAAATGTACTGATGGATGCTCCACTCCTGAGCAGCTTCAGTCCTTGGGTATTGAGCTCTTAACTCCTCTTACAGCCCCGCTCCCCCCCTAGTTCAGGCACTTTGCATGAGTTTAGCTTCAGTCCTGCAGAGCTTAGGCCAGCAAAGGGACTGAAGGTCTCACTTACCTTTAAATTCTTGATTTTTTTTTTTTTTAAGGAAGGTTCAAGGTGTCCCAAGACTTGTATAAAAAAATCAAGCTGCTTCTCTACACTGTTGCACCATTAGTGTAGTGTCCATTACAAGATGGGCTGCAGGCAGTAGGCCCCATTTTATGAGGTTTCCCTCTTAAATCGGATTAGTGCTAGTGAATGAGTTCTTGATGACCCCTACTGTTCCTAGTTAATTACCTGTTAGAATCTTTCTTTTAGCACCTCCATCACTCAGTGATACCACAGATGTACAAACAAATTCAGCCCTAGTGTGAGAGGGCACAACTCCAGGGGTGTGGCCTCTGCTTTCTCCATATCTGAATTTAGCCCATTGTCTTGATTAAAAGCTAAGGACAGTTAAATTCTAGCGCTGAACCAAGATGCTCAGAGAATGTCTCTCCCAGAGCTAGGTGAATGCCAAGGCTGTTGAGCCTAGCAGGGAAGAGGTTAAATAGACACTAATCTTCTGTTTGAAGGTTTTGCTAATCCAAGGCAACAGACCCAGTACAGTGTGGTGAGGGGCCGTTTGCACTGTATGCTGTGCTTGGGACTCTATCAGGAAGCAGCAAAGTAGGTAGGAACCTTGCCTTTCCCTTAGGAAAGATAAAGCACAGTGTGTCTCACTCTTGAGAGCTGTTCTGACTCCTCTGAGAACAGCTCTTGAACTTGCTATTTCCCAAAGGAGTCCTGCTTCAAGGGGCTATGGAAGGGATTTGCTCATCTGTAGTCTTCCAAACCTCTCCTGAGCCTCTGTATCGCATAAAGGAATAGTGAAGAGCATAGGGGAGATCTCCTTTTTAAAAAACAAAGCAGGTTGTTAAGATGTGGCCACTACTTACTTCTTTGCCTCCTTCTCCTTTGGATTATAAAGAGAATCACTTCCATTGTGTGCGTACAGGCTCCTGCCTTGGTGCTTGGCAGTGGGTGCTGTGAAAATGCCAAAGTCGGGGGATTAGTGTGAGAGGCAAGGAGGGCTACTTTCCAGTGGATTTAAATAAAGTTCCAAACTGAGCTGGCAGAGCTCCTGGCCAGGGAAGAGATAACAGGTGTCAATGAGGGAATCTGAGCTCCCAGTGACTATGGGGTGGTTTCCAGCATGGAATCTGTCTAGGAACTCGCAGGCAATGCAGCTGGTCCTTCTTGGCCCGGCTGACCTCTGAGGGCTGCAGCTAGGAGCAGAAACCTGGAAAGTGAAATGATCCTACTTTAAACAGCATGCTGGAAAAGGTGAGAGCAGCAGCCAGAGCTGGAGGGCAGGAGATAGCGAAGAAGGGAGTGAAAAATGGTTTTTTTTGTTTTTTTTTTAAATGAGCCTGGCATTGTTGAGGAAGACATTTTTAATCACACTGTCACAAGAAGAAGGTGGTAGTGTGTGTCCCCCTCCCCCCCCCCGCCTTTTTTTTCCCCCAGAGGTGAAGTCCAGGTAATTCCTTGGCTGCTTGTTCTCAAATGTTGATTGTTTTTTAATACTGAAAACAAATTCCTCTCTTGTGACTGACCCTACAATAACTGTGCACCCAGCCACAGTGTTGGTAAGCAAGTCAATACAACAAGAAGCCTATGAGCATGGGGAATTGGGAGGTCTGAACTTTAGTAAGGAAATGGAGTTCAATTCCCAGCTTCCTAGGGCTGTTGGTAGTGTATAAAAGTGGGAGCAGTGCTTTGACTGCATCCTAATTCAGATACATTTTAATTTATCCTTCCAGTTAGTAGCAATAGCTTTTGTCTCATTTCTATTTATCCTCCTCTTCAGAGGCAGCATTGAAGTCGACCTCACTACTGCAAGATGCCGTGCAGAATTCTCCACGTTCAAAGCAATGGGGCCACAGACCTGGCCACTGGCTAATGCCAAGAGCAAGTTTATCCAAGCAGATGGGAAAAGCGTTTAAGAAAAATGTGTTTACAGGACAGCACGCCTTGCCAGGTTCTCTCTCAGAGCAACAGCAGCTTACAGCAGAAATTCTGCGAGCTCAGGCTCGCGGCATTTGCATCTTCCAAAAGATTTTGAGCTCTAGCTCGGACACAAAGTGCCTTAGGACAGGAAGTCCTTCCATTCAGCACACCTGCCAAACTGCTGTGGACAGTCACTCTGGGGCTGCTGCTGGAAACCAGTCAGAAGAAAAGGGCCCAGGATCCCACTCCAAAACCATAGGTTCTGGCTTGTGCGCCAGTGAACGGGGTCCCTCCGGCAGCCTGACTCACGTTGACCAAGAGGGGCGGGCGGCCATGACAGATGTTGGAAAGAAGCCCGATTCTGAAAGGACCGCTGTTGCCAGTGCTGTGGTTCGTCTGGGTGAGGAGGCATTTGGGATGGTGCGGCAGAACCAGCTGAAGAAAGGAGATGTGCTGGCAGTAGCCCAGATCGCAGGGATTCAGGGAGCCAAGCTGACCAGCCAGCTGATCCCCCTGTGCCACAACATCTCTCTGAGCCAGGTGGACGTCTCTCTGAGCCTGGACGAGAGCAGATGGGCTGTGGTGATCCAGGCGCTCTGCCACAGCCAGGGTAAGACAGGTGTGGAGATGGAAGCGCTGACTGCCGCCAGCCTTGCTGCCCTGACTGTGTATGACATGTGCAAAGCAGTCACTCACGACATAATCATCGAAGAGGTGAAGTTGCTGAGCAAGACGGGAGGGCAGAGGGGAGACTTCCAGCGTGGATAGCACTTATCCTGTAACAGGAGCATCCCCATGCGGGCACTGAGGGCGCGGGCTGCCTTGGTGCCATATCTGCAGTCTGGCTGGGGAAACAGCAGGTATCCTATAAAAGAATGGGACTTAGTCTGAACGGCCAGGCCATCTCACTGCTTGGTGCTCCTCAGGTCGACTCCTACTGGACAGGTCTCCCCAGGCGTCCACAACCACACTTAGCACCCTTCCCCGTACCCTCGGGTTCTGTTAGGCCATGGAAACTTTCATCTCACTGCCATGGGTCAAAACTGAGGCCCTTCAACCCAGTGATGTCAGGGAAGCTGGCCTGGCTGCTGTAACCCGTCCAGTGCTTAGTCAGGCGCTCTTCATCAGTATCAAATTCACTTGGCAAATAACACACAATTAGGAGTAGTTTATTGTATCTTTGATCAATGACGCTGGCTTAAGAATTGCTCCTTTCTTCCCACCAAACTTGAACTAGGAAGAAACTTCAGAAGGAGACAATGGGGAGTCATTCTAGAGTCCTGGCCATTGAGCAAAGATTTTAATAATGTATGGAGCCCAATCAGCTGGAATTATTCAGCTCAAAGTCACCTAGCCACACCCCTCACAACTGCTTGGGTCCTAAATGGGTCTGATCACTACCAGAGCAAGGGGATGGGATCTTATGTCCATGAATGGAAAATTAGATGTTGGTTGACTGATGCCAAATAGCCCATGCACAGGCCTGATTTTATTCAGCATCATGCCCCTCAGTGCAGAGAGCTACTGGGATAGGAGGAACTGTAATTTGCACACCCTGCACTGTTTTGCTGTAGTTCACTTGTGCCTGCCATCATAACCAACTCACTAGATGTCCCTGCATGCTCAGGGGCCAGTTCTGAATCAATCTCTGTCTATCAAAGCCACTTCCCAGAAGGTAATAGGCCTCCTTCCTTGCTGTGTCCTGAAGGGATGCCCTGCAGTGTTACATCAAAGCTTACTGTGCCACCCCCCTCCAGAGCAACCAGCAGGAACCATGACCAAAACTGGGTAGCCATGAAGAGGCTTCCTAAAAGAGCCAATATGGGCTGTCAAATGACTCAGCTTAAACTACTTCATAAGGTTGTGGGGTTTTTTTTTTTTTTTTTGGTACTCTAGCAAGTTTATGGGCTGTGCCTAAGAACGTCATTCTGCTCCTTAGGAAAGTCAGGGACAGAACTCCCCAAAATATGAGCAGAATCAGGCCCTTTTTTTATTTCTGGGACTTGAAATCCAGCTGAGTTTCCCACCAAACTCCAGCAGATTCGGATTTTTTTTTTTAATCCACATGTCTGCCATGGCAGTTTGTAGCCCCCGCCAATGGTGTGTCATGGGATAACCTAGTCTCATGCTTGCTTCTATAGACTTTGCATCCAGCCCGCAGAGGAAGCTCAAGCTAGGTCTTGACCATCATTAATGTTGTTGTTGCTGAACTCAGTGATTCTTTTGGCAAACAGGGTCATAAACATCCCTTTGCTGTGTTGACTCTGCCTCAGGGAAGGGGAGGAAATCCTTCAAGATTTGTCAAAGGAACCCAGGAGAGGGGAAATTGGAATAGGCACTTAGAAGCCTGAAAAATCAGTCTTCTAAAAGTGAAGTCCTTGATGTTGCGGAGTCTTATGCTATTTTTGTTATTAAAACCTGAACCTCTCAAGGCATGTGGCTAGATAAGGATCTCCGCTTTTTCTTTTTTTAAAAAAAGGAAAGTTCCTAGTTCTTCTGGTGGCAGAGAAAAAACTTGGAAGTATGATCTGAATCCATCCTAAAAGCTCAAAGCCAGAAAGCAAACAGAGAGAGAGAGAACCCTGGGCACTAGGCTGGCATGTGTAATGATTTTAAAAAGTTCAGTGTTAACACTCAGCACTTGAAATGGTCCCCTTGCTAAGGATGATCTTCAAAAGCAGGAGTTAATTTTGCATGTTTTTGGAGTGGAAGGGAATAGACATAATAAAATATACTGATTTGTCAGTCTAAATTGAAAAACAATTCTCCCTTACTCTCAAACCTTGAGTTCAAGATTCTTTCTCCTGCTATAGTTGAGATCAAACACATACAGCAGAGCGGGGATTCCAGCTCTCTATGCCATCTTAGAGGCTAGTGCCACCCTGTGCTATGGTTGGAGAAAGACCCTCAATTCAGATGTTGGCAGCCCCAACAGTCTTTCCGTTTATAAACCTTGTGTTTAAAAATGAAGTCCTACAGTCCACAGTGTTGACAAATTCTTCAGCAGTAATGGTTTTTTTTTTTAATCAACCCAAGTGGCTACCCCAAATACTCTTAACACCTCTTTGTTTTAACTTGCTTGCCACTGCTGTATTTTGGTTTTATACAGTAACCTGAAAGCTTTACCTAAACCTCAAAGACAAGGAGCCCCCAACTTTAATTTATGGTGTGCTCCTGTGGCTTAAGTTTCCTGCCCTTTGGACACCAGTGCTACCACCCCCTTTGATACACACAACCGAGGAAGTTTTTAAAACAGCCTTATTAACCTTGCTTTCCTATTAAACTAGAGCTTTCAAGTAACTGGAAAGAATTTTTTCCTTTGCCTTGTGATTATTATTGTTGGTACAGCCTGCTCCCTAAAGTTGTGTTTCAAGAAACATTTTATCCAGTGGTGAGACTATACATGACAGCATCAAGCACATTTCAGTCACTTCAAAGGAGATTAGCTCAGGTTTAGTGCAGTAAACTAGGAAGGCAGGGTCAGATTTAAAACTTTAACCCCCTCTCTTTCCTATACACCTGATTGCCCATCACTCTGCTTCCCAACCCCTTTTCTTTACTAACTCAGTTGCAGGTAGAGCATCACACCAGCACCAAGGAAGCACGTTGGAGTTCACTGTAGAGTTGCTGTGCATTTTAAGCCATGCTACGTGTTTGGGTGTAGCTAGCAGTTTGAAATATATATTTTTCTATTGGTGAGCCATTATCCACAACATCCCAGTAATAGTAGCATTGCCATGACCACTAAGTTCCAAATTCCACCACTAGATATGCTTATGGGATCCCGTTGACTCTATAGGGTGCCCGTGTGGAACCAGATGGCACAAGTTGGTTCTAATACCCTTTGCTATAGAAGTATCTGGCAGTGTGTTTGTTTATATTGATCAGACCTTTCATTTAAAGACTGCTTAAAATTAGCACCTCTTGGAAAATTCTACCTGAACACACCTTAATGGTAGATAAGTGACATAGCTGTGTGAGAGCAGTGGTCACCGATGACTGGGGAGTCTAAGCCCTTCACGGGTATGTCTACACTGCACCTGGGCGCAAGGCTCCCAGCGTGGCTCGACAGACTCGTGCTAGTAGGCTAAAAAGAGCTGTGTAGCCACAGCAGCTCAGGTTGGGGATTGGAGGCTCTGGCCTGGGGTACACTTGAGAGCCTGACCTCCAACCCAAGTCGCAACATCAAAGCAATGTCTATGCAGCTAGTTTTAGTGCACTAGCATGGCTGTAGAGCTGGGCTGGGATGCTCACTCCCAGGTGCAGTAGAGCTAGACCCTTACAAGTTGCACTGGGTTTCAACTACTGAGTGGGTGCTGAATTCCTGGCTAGTTCCTTGGCTGCTTCTCTCAATCCCACACACCCCCATGAAGCGGAAGAGTCTTCCTTGTAGAGAAGCACTGGCCATTAGTAGCAACAACGCTCAAGTCTCAAGCTTTGGCACTGGTCTGGGCCTCTATCATTCTGCTTCGCTGGCCTAGTTTATAATCCTGCTTTAGGACAAACACTGAATTTAAGGAGCTTGTGGCTTCAGTCTGACTGCCCCCTTTTCACATTAAACTCTTAATTTAGCTGGGTGTTTACAGGAAAATCTTTCTTCCCACTAAATCAATCTGCACGTGTGTCACACCAGTCAAAAATGGCATGGATTTTTCACATCTTTGAGCTAGTGATCACCTAAGATGATCAGCTCATCAAATGTTTTTTTTTTTTTTAATACTGTACACAACTTTCCAGTTCCAAATTCCTTAGCAAAGCCATACGGCATGGAAAGTGGCATTTATCAGAAAGCATTTCAGGTACTTAATCTGTTTTATTTTCTTAGTTACTGTGAGATGTGACTAAGAGCTCTTCTGTCTGCACTGTGGCAATGAAAAGATACAAACACCCACTCTGGGTGCTCAAATACAATAATTCTGCACAAGGTCCTATTGCTACATCAGACCATACTGATTACTTGCCATCGTGGCAGGAGAATCTCTGCTAGTTTAAGAAGAATATTGGTTAATGCACAGAAGATGCCCTCTGCAATCCCTCTTACAGGGCTGGGGGAGGAGGATCAGGCTTGGAAGCACAGATACCATATTTAGGCCCTGATCCTCAAAAGAATTTAGGCACCTAACTCTTACGGACATCAGTAGCAGTTGGGTGCTGAAATCCTAGGAGGGTCTTGCCTTAGATACCATGGTGATAGGCAACCTTAAAACCAAATAGAGTGGTTTCTTACATATCAGGACTGAAGTGAATTGGCTGAGCTAAATAGGGAAAAGACACCTACTTGCACTCTGCGTTTGCCTTTGCTTGCTGTAACCAAGTTGACTCTTACTTTCATGAGCACTTCTTGTTCACCTACATTTACATTTAAAAAAAAGAATACAGCCTCTTGTATGAGGTTTTAAAAACCAAACCAAACGTCTGTGCTGATTCAAGGGGTTGAGGAACGAGGAGTTGTATTCTGCGAGAGAGAAGAAGGTTTAAGTCTGAGCTGATGGTGCATTTTGACACATGGCTCCTCAGCTTCTGAAAATCTGCTACAGTGCAATAGTTGATTTAAAAAGCCAGGACCTCCCCACAGACTTTGAATTTCACTAGAATTCCTGCCGCGGGGGTGGGGAGGAAGGGGAGATTGTAAGGTTGTCTCTTAATCTGAATAGTTAGGGCGAATTGACAGCTCAGCTCTATAGTGGTGCCATAACATTTTCTTGTTACATAACCAAGCCTTGGAACTATGCAGTTAGTCTGATAGAGATAAGATGTTGAATTAAGTATGTGAGAGTTCATTTATTTTATGAGAATGTGTTGCCAAGGGGTACTAGGTAATAATGTATGTGTGATTTTTGTACCCCTGCTCCAATCCCCAAAGTAAACTGGGTCAGTATTTTAGAGGCTTACCTTGCTCCAGTACATTTTTAATAAAGACTAATTGTCGTGGAAATGAGCCTATTTGCGTAGGTTTATTTTTTGAACAAACATTATGTCAATGTTAAGCTTAAAATCCCTTTTAAACTGTTCAGTTAGGGTCTCTTCAGGAGAAGCGGTCTCTTCTGAATTTTCTCTAGCTCAATAGGCCAACTTTGCCCATGGGCCACGTTACAAGTTACTACAATGGACAGACAGTGATTCCTTATATGGAGAAATTGTTCATCTCTCCCCGTAGAACTTACTTGGGCGATGCTTGTAAGAAATGTCAGTTTACAAAAATATTTAGAATTGAGCCATGTCTAAGTGGATGTTCCAAAACCGAGCAATCACCTAACCTTAGCACCGTAACCCTAGTCAGTTGTCATTTGATTTCTTCCACTCTTCCGTGCCCCACCCAAACCTCCTATTTCCTGTTTGAAAAGAGGTTCATTTGCCTTTCACCTTGTTCACTTTTTCATCTACTCCGCCCCAGAAGCAGAGAAGAGCTGTTCTCCTTGAAAACAAGGAAGAGTTAAGCGAGTAACTTACAGATTTTGGTGAGTTACATGTGTAAGTCCTGCATGCATGGGGAACAGAACCTCTACTCAGCTTGCTGTGTCAGGTAGAGAAAGTTATTGGAACGAGATACAGAACCATTCACCTCCAGCTCACTGATAATGCAGCCTAGCTCCATAGTTTCAAAAATCACTGCTATGTAGTTTTGGTGGCCAATGTGAAGCAAGTGTAGCCTCAGTCCATTTCCTGCAACATCCACAGGTGCCTCATATCAGAGCAATCGCCCTTACAAATAGCCATCTCAGTCCCAGAAGAGTTGTCTATTTGATCCGGGGCATAAGTTGGGGTTGATGCTTAGCAGAGTCCCATCCACGGCAGGGCAATGGGAATTTTGCACTGCTGTGTTGTACAGAGGAGGGGTAATACAGGACTTCAAGCTCCAGAGCTGGCCCTCTGTCACCTTTGTAGCTGCACTAAATTCGCTCACAACTGCAAACACCCTCTCTGCCTCCCCTAGTCTCCTTTCTCAGCTGATCCCATTGCAGTCTCCTTCCTCCTCTGCTGATTATGCCAGCAGGTCATTACAGTGCAGATGGGGTTGAAACAAAGGGCTGAGGGAAGTTCCTGTCCTTAAATGAAGCTAGTAAACCCCAAACTGCCTTGGTCTCAGCATCCAGCACAATAGAAATAAGGATGCCTGAATAGAAATAAGGATGCTGAGTGCATGAAGGGAAAAGCCAGTCAAAGCTAGAGATGCCCTACCACTCCCCTAGGCTAAACATGTAAACGGGAGAGTCCCATGATAAGATCTTGCCTACCACTGCCCCAGACCACAGAGAGCCTCCTGCCACTCCCTCAGAATCTGCAGATGAGGTGCACATGGTCATCCAAGCCACCAGCAACAAATCCACCCAAATGTTAATACAGCCTCAGGATGTAGGAACGTCTGCACTGAACTCCTCTGCTAGGGAACTTCCCCGTGAGGGGCTTCTGGGACCATCTCCTGACGGAGGGAAGCTCTGACTCCGTCCAAGCCACATTGCCAGCGCAGGTGCAAAGAGGCAAAGCCTCCACACAAATGGTCCAGTGCCACCAGCAGATCCTCGGTGACCTGTGAGCACTGTGCTTCTGCAAGTTGGGGGGGAGGGTGAAGTGAAGTTGGTGTAAGTCTCTTCTCTGCCTGCTCCCCCTCACAAGAACAGCTTGGGGAAAATGTAATGAGGGGAATTCCACAGTTCTACTCCTAAAGGCTCCTGCAAAAGGTGTCATGTGAAGGAGGCAATTCTCACACCCTTGACAGGTTTCAGAGTAACAGCCGTGTTAGTCTGTAAGTCACACACCCTTGAGTGACCCTGAGCATAAGGAGCAAAAAAGAGGCCTACAGCGTAGGATTCAGAAATGCAGGTGTGGAGGTGTCATGATTTTGGCTTCTCCTCCCCTCCAGCATGCACCCTTCTCCCAGAATTCTGAGGCTCTTACAGTCAATCTGACACCTTCTCTGGTGGCCCTTTTGAATGTTTCTGAAATCGCCTTCACAAGTCAAGACCAGGTTTCTGAGAGGCTGACAGATTGACACAGCATCACCCCACAGCTGCCCTCAAAATGTGTGTTCCTAGCCTGGGTGGGCCATACCCTCCACCTGTGAGGGGTCTGACTCTTCCCCCCCCCCCCCCCCAATACCTTAGCCACATTTAGATTTTCATGCCACTTAAGTCACTGAACTGATGAATCATGGCAGCCCTCGTAACCCACATTTCTGTGGACACAGGAAATGGAGAAAGTTTTGTGGCATTGGCTCCGGTGTCCACTACAGCATGTTGCAGGAGCATACTTGCCCCAGCTTGTCTTTTCTGTTTCACGTTGGTCGTATTCTCTGTTCAGGACTGGTTTAGCCTTCGGGGCAGGTAACCAGCTAGCCACCATTCTCCTGCTGGACAGTGACATGGAATCCGAGAGCTATAAATCACTAGCCAAAAATTTTCATCAGTGGCTATTGTTTTTGGGTGCCTAACTTGAGGCACCTTAAAGGGGCCTGACTTTCAGAGTGGGGATCTCCCTTTCTGCCCCCCCAAATAAGGCCCCTTTTAGATAGCTCAATACGGGCACCCACAATCATGAGTAGCTTTTGAAAATCTTGGCTCTGATAAGCCATTTAGGGCCAAATTCAGCTCTCAGTCACACCAGTGTAAGTCTGGGGTAACTCCACACCACTCAATGCAGTTTTACTCCAGATTTAGTTTTAACTAAGAGCAGAATCTGGCTCTTCCTTCCCACCCCACCATTGGTCTTTAACTAGCTTGTGGCTCCCTTTGTCTGGCTCAGCGACGGTAATGCAGGCCTGTGACAGTTTTGAAACTGCTGCAGATGTGTGCGCTTTGGCCAGGAAATGGGCTTGCTAATTAGTTAAATGGAAACAGTTTTACTTCGCTCCACTTACCATAACCTTGTTCCAAGAGAGGCTTAAGGTTTCAGGGAACATAAAAATAGCTGGAGGAATTACTGGTTGCAGTAGGCTAGTGCACTAATCTTCCCTGCTTCTGGAGACTGTAGTTCAAAGCCTGGCCTTAGGTCACAAATGAAAGTGGAATTGGTGCATCTATCATCTTCACATTGCAAACCCGCGACATAGCTGGCAAGCTCTGCCCTAGCAAGAGGCACAGGGCTGGGACAGCAAAGGGGTTTGCTTGAACTAGTGAGCTACCTATGCACAGCACCTACCGAGGCAGACGTCTCATCTTAGTGCCTGTGCCGGAGATCAGCAGCTGGCCAACTCTACCTCCATCTGTCCCTCACTGCTGGCAGCACCACATTTAAAAACATTTCAGTTCAGTGTATAGGGATTTGTCTTAACGATCTGTGCACATGCCTAGCCTGAGGACCTAAGCAGAAGGCAGATAGTGATACAGGGTGACTATAGTTGCCCAAGATGGTGTTTGGAGTAAGTGATAGATAGGCATTGGTAGTTGTAGGATGCTCACGTGTGGTCTTAATAAAACCTTAGACAAGCTAGATCAGGAAGTTGATGAACATGACTGGGACTCAGGTCTGGATTCACATCCTGGCTCTACGTTGACACTGCCATTCTGCATGGCCCTAGGCAAATCACCTAATTTCACTGGGGCTCTGGGTATGTCTATAGTGCACAATAGGCCTGGACTCTGACTCAGGTTTAAGCCCAAGCCCCCCTTCTGTCCACACACAAATCAGTCTGATTCAGGTCAGCAAACACTCAGGTCCTTGGACCCTGCTAAGGGGGTGGGTCACAGCCTAAGCCCCACTGCGACTCAGGTCCAAGCCCTGTCATTTTGTTGTGCAGACACAGGTCAAGCAGGGTTGCCAACTTTCTACTTGTACAAAACCGAACTCCCTTGCTCCGAACTCCCTTGGCTCACTCCATCCCTGCTCACTCGGTCTCCCCACCCTCGCTCTCTCATTTTCACCAGGCTGTCTCAGGGGGTTGGGGTGTGGGCAGAAATGAGGAGGTCAGGGTGAAGAAGGGGACTCCAGGCTGTGGCAGTGGATTGTGGTGTGGGATCTGGAGTGCAGCCATAGATGAAGACTTTGGGGTGCAGGAGGGGATTCTGGGCTGTGGAGGGAGCCGAGGGGTTCAGAGTATTGGAGGAGTCTCTAGGCTGAGGCAGGGTTCCGGGGTGAGGCCAGAAATGAGGGGTTCAAGGTAGGGGAGGGGGCTCCACACTGGGGCAGGGGGTTGGGGTGCAGAGCGGTGAGGGCTCTGGTGTGGGACTGGGGATGAGGAATTTGGAGTGCAGGGGGGTGCGGGCTCAGCATCAGAGCTGTGGCAGGGGGGCACAGGAGGTTGTCAGGGATGCAGACTCTGGGCAGCGCTTACCTCAAGCATCTCCCAGAAGCAGTGGCATGTCCCCCTTCTGGCTCCTACATGGAGATGCAGCCAGGGGGCTCTGCACGCTGCTCCTGCCCCACGCGCCAGCTTCGCAGTTCCCTTTGGCTGGGAACCACAGCCAATAGGAGCTGCAGGGCGGCACCTCTGAACGGGGCAGCACACAGAGCTACCGGGCTGCGTAGGAGCCGGAGAGGGGGCGTGCCCCTGCTTCCAGGAGCCGCGTGGAGCTAGGGCCTTAGCCCTGCTGCACCACCCATCGGACTTAACGGCCTGGTCAGCAGCGCTGACCAGAGCTGCCAGGATCCCTTTGCGACTGGTTGTTCCGATCGAAAACCGGACACCTGGCAACCCGAAGGCCAAGCCACAAACCCAAGTCAGAAGGTCGGCATAGTGCTGTTTGGAAGCGTTACCATGGCTGAGATACCTGGCTCCAGCAACCATAACCCCACTTTTACAATGCAGCGTGGATGTTCAAGTACAGGTCTGGCAACACAGAGTCCACACCCCTGGATCCCACAGACCCAGCCTTAGTGTTCAGTGTAGACACACCCTCTGCTTCCTCATGAGCGACATGAGGACAATTCCCACTGCCTGGGAGTTTTGTGAGGCTTCATTCATTACCGTTTGACAAGCAGTTTCAGATCCCTTGAGGGAACTAG